GATTATAAGATTTCATTTTATCGAACATTGTATTGATACAGAGAATGATTCATGCGAGTTTGATTTTAAAAATGAAAACTTTATTTATTACTGATGATTTTCTCGCATGTTTGAAATTGGATTTGAAAGGAACTTATTATAGAACATTGGTTGCTAGCGGCGGTTTCGTTAGCCTTTGGCGCACCTTGGTAAATGACTAGTTAGTTTGATTTTCGTGAGCTTCATTCTCACATTTGTTATTCATGGGCCTTGTACCCGTGTTTGATTTCGTAGCTTCAGCCACGTTTGGTTATTTACCCTTGTGGACTATGTGTCCACGTTTGTTTCGTAGCTTCGACTGCATTTGGTTATTTACCCTTGTGAACTGTGTATTCACATTTGTTTCGTAGCTTCGGCTACATTTGGTTATTTATCCTCGTGGACTATGTGTCCACGTTTGTTTTTATTCTGATAAGTCCCTATTATATGAATTGATTGTTTGAAAATTTTACATCCCATTGGTTTTAAATAGTAAATTATTTATAATTATTTATTTTATTTATTTTCTTCCTGTAATCAAGTAATAATATTATTTGATACGATATTTTAATGATTCAAGATTTTTATTTAAAATTTTATAGAGTTCTTTTATTTCAAAAGTTGACTAAATTGTTATGAAGATCGTTGCCTCTTTAAATTGCATAATTATTTTAACTTTCTTTTTATTCATGTTCAATTATTTATTGTTGGGACGCTATTCATTGGAAAATTATTTTAGTCTCAATTCATTAGTTGATGCTAATTCTACCACTGACTTCTGAAGGGCATACAGCTCTATTGGATGGAAATTTTATTTGGTATTGTTACCTCTTGATGTAAATATTTAAGACTCATGTATTTTAGTTTAGAAGTAAGATTTGTTGCTCTACATAAACTATAGTTAGAGTTTTTTTTTAATGTATATGTGGTCTGTTGGCTGTAAGGAACTGAGCTCCTGATTGATATAATGTTTACAAAAATTTTTGTGTAGTAAAAGTTTTTGGGAGATCCTATTTACAGGGGATGTTCTGTTAAAATTTTTACAAAAACATTGAAACTTTGTGTTATGACAATTAATAACAAAAGTTTTAAAATTTTCATATAATCTGATTTTTTTTTAGAAAATAGAATGAATTTTCATTTTAAGGCTTACAAGAATGTGCGATGCAATTCACACCCGTGCCGGTCACCCTCTATTTTTGGGGTGTGACAGTATAGTTCTTATAGCAAAAACAAGAGAAGAGGTTAATTGTAAACTTGAGTTATAAAGGAGGACATTAGAGTCGAAAGGTTTCCGACTGAATAGGAGTAAGATGAAATATTTATATTGTAAATTTAGTAAGAGATTAGTCGACAGCAATTTAGAAGTGAAATTAGGAGATTAAATTACACCTCAAGTGGAAAAGTTTAGATATTTGGGAGCCATTATTCAAAATGATGGCAAAATCAATGAGGATATTTCATATAGGATTTAAGCTGGGTGATTTAATTGGAGAAAAGCTAAAGCAGTTATTTGCAACCGTAAGGTGCCTAATAACCTTAAAGGAAAGTTTTATTGTATTGTTATCAGTCCGGCTGTGTTATATAGTAGTGAATGCTGGGCTCTAATAGGATAGTAAAGCATAAAGTTGGAGTAGCAGAGATGAGAATGTTATGATGGATATGCGGACATACACACAAAGATAAAATTCGAAATGAGCACGTATGCGAAAAAGTGAGGGTAGCACCTATTGAGAAAAAAATGATAGAAAATTATTTAAGATGGTTTGGGCATGTACAAAGAAGACAGTGGGAGGCACGAGTGAGAAAAGTGAAACATATAATTTTAAGCCCTATTAAGAGGGGTAGAGGAAGGCCTAAGAGAATACTCTTTGAAGTTATTGAACGCGATTTCTTAATTAATATTATTTTTAAAAGTTTGATAAATGATAGAATACAATCGTATCTTGCAATTCATATAGCCGACCCCACTTAGTGGGATAAAGGTTTGTTGTTGTTGTTTGGTATTTCTATTAACAATTAAAAATACAGATGCATTTGCATCACCCTTTTGATTTTCTACTTTTTGAATGATTAGTGATTTCTTGTTTATGTGCCAACTACTTGAAATTTCTGGAATTATTATTTTGTATCAGCAGCTAGGGAAAAGGACAGGCAACATTCTGAAGCGTCTTTTTCCAGTGCCAAGCCAGATGCAAAGCGCATTATTACTTTTTCCAATCAGTCTGATCATATTTCGTTCAGGTTAGTTTCACATTGCCTGCTATGGATAATGATGTTTGGCTGCTATTATTTAATCAATAGATTCTCCATAATGCATTGCAATAACGAAAACCCTCTTATAGCCCCCTTTTGGTTGGCTAAAACAAGCATTTTTGTGAAATGTTACTCTGGCAGGAATTACCTTTATATATAAGTTATAATAAAACCTACCATGCATTTCTTTTGTCAAGGGTTTGATAGGCGTATGTAATTATGAATGTTGTATAAACACCCCTTTTTATCCAAATAGAGACAATTATTAGAATGTGTTTCCAATATGTATTAAATTTAAATGCCACATGATTTATTAAGTGAAATCACTATGACTTCACCATGGTAGAAGGTGTTGATAGATGTCTCACCTTGTGCTGCAAGTTTCTACTTGGTCCGTTATTCACTTTTTTTTTGGGGGGGGGGGGGGGGGGTTCTGCATTATTTGTTCAATCATTGTTGCCTAACTATTGTGAATTGGAGTTTCCTTCTTTTTCATGTGAAATTAATAATGCCTTTCTCTCTTTATATGCACATGCATACTGTATTTCATCAATAAATGTTACATAAAGGCATCATATATTTGAAAAGCATGGGGGTCCTAAATCTGTTGAATTGAAGGAAATTGGTCCTCGATTTGAGTTGCGGCTTTATCTGGCTGATCTCACTGTATATATATTTTTTAAAAATTAACAGTATCCTTGGTAAATTAAATCTTTAAGTAGTCATGAAGTAATTTTTTGTTTCACTTGTGGACATTGTAGCAAAAAGGATGATTTTCCCCCTTCAATTTGAGTAGTTTTTAAACGATTTCATTTTGCTTGTATATCATTAATATATAATTTCAACGAATTTTTGTCATCAACCTAATTAGGTTCATAGAAGTAAAACTTGGCAAGTTGAAAATTGATCAGTTAAGAATAGATTTCACTCATGTAATATGAATTCATCAAGTCATGAATTTATTAAATATACTTTTGTTTTGACATGATTTTGTCTTTCCATCTATTAATCTATCTAGTAAGCTCTCGTTTGTTAGCTGATGAATTGCTTAGGTCCGGTAGATGTTTCAACTTGAAAATGTATGTTTGATGCCTCCAGAACTGGATGTTACTAATGATGTATTAAAGTTAAATAAAATAAACTAATTGAAGTAAATGGGGTATGCACTTAATGATCTCCTTAAAAAGTGAGGGAAAGGTTGCTTACCTTTCGGTAAAATTATGACATTGAAAGAAGTTTTGAATCAAAATTGTCAAAGATCAAGATCTTATATAGGATCAAACTTCTGTGCGCATGTCATTTTTTCTGTTTGCACCCTTATAATATTGGAGTTAGCTTTCCTCCTCCTACCCAGTTGTGGAGCCACATTAACCAGAGGGGATGCAAAACTTTGGGAAAAATAACAAGTGGAGTATGTAAATTTTGCAACTTTACACTCCTACTCTTGATATTTTTCACCCTTTGAATTAAATAAAAAATATTTGAGCTTAAAAACTTGTTAGATATATAATATTTTAATAATGATCTATATAAGATGTGAAGTGCACATTTACAATTAAAGATCATATCAAGATGCTCGATATAATTTTTTAAAATGAAAAATGATGACCAATCTATTTATGATATTACAATTTTAGTCTTTGCATAATTATTATTTTTTAAAATATTAATTTTTTTGTTAAATTATTTTGCACTTTCTGGCTCCAGGTCTCGACTCTGCCACTGCTTCTACCAGTCCCTCGTCTTACCTTTCGCTTTTTTTCCCCACGCTTGGATCTCAACTTCAATGGTTAAGATTTAATATATTATAATATTATTATAATATTAAATAATAAATAAATAAATTTAAATTGTTAAATTTTGATCTAAACAGATCTGAAATATCTGTTCCTTGCAAGCTTCTGTCCTGTTTATATCTTTAGTTGCTCAGCATGAATTACATAATTTAGATTTCCACATCTGTCGTCCTTGTCCCCAAAGTGGACCTTTATGGGTATGACAGATGGCTGATTTCATTGGATGAAGTTTCACCATAATTGGCAAGTTACTCATGTTCTTTAGTTATTGCAGATAAAGCTGGGAACAGTTGATCAGGATGAAGCTCAAATAGAATGGGTCATTAGACCTTACATGAACACAACTAAAAAGCGAAATTTTCTTGGCCATTGGCTGTCTTCGGATCCTTTACAATAGTATTTTTGACAGAATCTGAGCTCGGACATACTGGTATTCTTTTTTATAATTGAAACATCATTGTAATTGGATGTCTTATGGTTTACAAGGAGCCTGTATGCAGTTTAGCAACAAATGTATGATAATGTAAATTTTGTAACCTATCGTAATTGTTTAGAATTTTGTCCAATGGCTTGAACAAATAAGCATGGTTTTAAAACTAAACCAGTCCTTGAACCAAAGGAAACTAGTGGTTCAAGGGTCAATAATCGAACCAATCATGATTAATTTGATTTACTGCAAGTTTTATGTGTTAAATATAACATTGGAGTCAATATTTTATAGAATATTATTTTGCAAAATTAATTTTGTTAGATGAGTTTAAATAATTTGTTGTGTATTTATTATTAAATATCATTTTATTAGCATATAAAAATGGGAAGGCAACAAGAGGTTACCGCTTACTTTTAATTTCTTATACATATATGCAAATTAAGGATATTTCATGTGATATTTTTAACAAAAATTGAAAATAAATATAATTTTCGAAGCTATTTTAGAAGAGAACAACAACAAGAAGCTCTATCTTATAAGGTAGCGTTGGCTGCATAAATTACATCACCCTGGTATGCCTTTTAAAAGGATTACCGCAATATAAAAGTTCCAGAATGCAAACATGAGAATTAATAATCGTACAAGGAGATGGGAAACCTCCAAAGTAATACTCTGTAAGAGAAATAAGTTTGCTGGTACGTAGAGGGACAACCAGGAAATGAAGTTTCAAAATCACAACTTGCTTGTTGGAACACCAACTGGATTAACTCTGGACCTCTTTTCTACTGATCGGGAAACCTGCTTCACTGCCTCCTTTGGAAGATGACGAGGCTTGCTCAGCCAGAGTCCTCCATCAACTATCAGAGTGGTCCCGTTGACAAATTTTCCTTTCAAGAATTTGCAAGAATGTTAAATTTAAAGACGAGAGAAAGGAAGCAAAGGAAATGAGAAGCTTTCATGGACAAAGAAAAACAAATGAGGAAACGGGCAAACGAATGCCTTGGAAAAACAACACCCATTTTAAAAAATTGCTACTTTGTCAATACAAGAAACCCCAGTTTTAATTTCAAAGGAAAGGAATTCTATTTCTTTGTATACATATTATGGTTCTGGTTGATGTTTAAAAAGACGTGGAAAGCACATGGACAACATTTGATTGAAAAGGACTGCAAGGAATACAAAGAAAATATAACCCAATAAAAAACAATTTCTATGGTAAAGCAAACACACACACGATTTTGAAACATCAATTGTAAACATAATTACCTGCATCTGACACAAGGTAGAGAGCAGCCATGGCAATATCCCATTTATCCCCGATTTTGAACAAAGGCAGACGTCTGGCTTCGCTATTTATTTCCCGAGGATCCAGCTTATCCATGCCAGAAGTATCACCAATAGGACCAGGTGCAATCCCATTGACTCTAATATCATAGTCTGTTCCCCATTCTAGAGCCAAGTTTCTCGTAATAGCATCAACAGCTGCCTGTTGGAGAGAGAACTTTTTGAAGTTAAATGCAAGTCCATGTGATGTTTAATGTCTGGGAAACATGTTACAGACCTTAGCTGCTGACACATGGACTTGATACCAAGAAGCTGTATAATGCAAGGTAGCACTAATGTTTAATATTGTTCCCCCACCAGAAGAGCTTCTTCCTTGTGCTCCTTTCTTGAGATATTTTAATGCTTCATGGCACATTGTAAATGTGCCAACAGAGTCAATATCCATAACTGCAACAAGATTTACAATTGATAACTACTTCCTGTATCTACCTCTTTAGTATATTTAAAAACTGGCTGCATCATGTTCTAAACCCTGACTTGTGGGGTAACTTCTCAAGTGGCACATACACATCTACCTAAGCACTTTTTTTGAAGGATGTGTTCTTTAAGCAATAATAGCTTATCAATGATGCGAACCACGTTATGCCTAAAAGAAGTGTTTTATATGAATTTTAAAAGTTGCTAAATTATCTTCTATTTTAGGGATTCCATGACTCATGCACAATAGCAGGTAGTAAAAGCATCCACAAACTGCTTAAATCTTTACAGATTTTCAGCGTGTTCATTCGCATGGTAAAACTCAAGCTTGCTTCATTCTGAAATTTACCAGCAAGATTTAAAATTAATTTATCAACAGGAAGAAAATAAAAAAGACAGAGGATAGGAAATCCCTGAATTTTTTTTTTTTTTCCCCTTTGTCATTGGGGTGGGTGGGGAGAATGAGGGTCTTTTGTCTTCTACTCATACAAAAAAATTGCATCTCAAAATCACTTCCAATGAATCGTACGGCATAAAAAAATTGCATCCCAAAATCACTTCCAATGAATCGTACGGCATACCATTTACGGCACTTTAAAGGAGAACTGGAACAGTTTTGCGCATATTAGAGAAAAAATAATAATAATAATAAAGAAAGTGAAACTTAAGAAATACAGTACCTGTTTTAAATCCTTTAGGAGACAGATCCTCTGCTGATGCTAAAAAGTTTCCAGCTGCAGCATTCACAAGAATGTCAATCCTTCCAAAATGGTTATAAGTTGATTCCACAACTCTTTTTGCATCTTCTTGCTTACGAACATCCCCTTCAAAACCAACAGCCTGAGCAAAACAACAAGATCCATAATAATAGAAAAGCCATTGATCTTCTTTGAATAACGGCCAGCAATCACGCGGAAGGAAATACTCTTTTTAGCCACCAACCAACAATTCCACAACTGACGGTTAACTATACCAGACGGACATGGTGATACCTAAATAACCATTGGTCTAAAGAGCACAACAGGGGAACCAGTTACCACATATTCAATATCTTCAATTCAAGAACAGACCAGTAACGATATTCAGGTCAAACTTGCCGATCAATAAAAGGAAGGAATACGATAAATTCAGAAATAAGAAACCACAACATGCAAGACCCGTGATGGAAGACGAAAACAAGTAGCAGAAAAAAGATGAATCACCGGAATCCCAAGTGAGCGGAGAGAAGAAACAGCAGAATCGAGGACTTGCTTGCGTCGACCCATGATGGCAACGGAAGCACCATGTTTGCCGAATTGGGTGGAGATTTCAAAGCCGATTCCGGAGCCGCCTCCCGTGAGAAGAGCAACCTTGCCTTTCAGTATATCGGGCTTGAACATTGACTCCATGGCCATAGGTTTCTCCGGCTGAGCTTTCAGCCCACTGTGATTAATAGTACGTTGTTCGCGTGGGAGCGAATGAAAGAGGACAGGGGCAACACCAAGTGCTTTCAAAACACAAACACCAAAAGCTGCTCCGTTAATTTCAGAGACCATTCATCATTTTCCATTTTCCTCTTTTTTATATATGCGTGACACGTGGCAGAGACAAGAGGAGGAGAATGTTAATTGTTAATCACGTGCGGAGAAACTGTTAGGCATATACAGTACGGGGATAATGACAATTAACTGCTGAAAAAAAAATTAATGAGAATTAGATTTTGGACAAAATATTTTGAAAAATAAATGATAAATATTTATTCAAATAATTAAAAATTTAATAATTTTAATTATTAATAAAAACTTACATTCTAAATATATTCCCCAATTTATAATTGAGATGTCTTATTGAAACTATTTAAATGACTAAATCAATACTTCCTTCAGACAATAATATTTATCATTATTAACTAATTTATGATTTATTAAAAATATTAATTGAAATTTTAATTTTTTAAAAATATCTACATTTTTTTATTTATGTCCTTTTAAGAATTACTAGTAACATGTGTGTGATATTTAAATATGGAGTATTTAAAGACAATGAATAAAAAAAACAAGGTATAAATGGATGGACAGACATAAAATTTTCCCAATGCCCACTATTCTCTCCAATTTTATTTATAAGATACATTTTAAAAGTAAATTTTAGTCTAAAATATAGGACTCTTTGTAATAATTAAATTTTTTTTAATTTTATCTATTCTTAATTAGCATGAAGATATTTAATGTAATTGTATTATTATTTAAAATTAAGGATAAAAATAAAAATACATATCTTTTTTTATGATATAAAAAAAACTAGTTTTTTTTGAAATGTGACATTTTTGAAAGTATCATATAATGAGAATTGAAGGAAGTATTTTGAACCAACACATACGTTTAGAAAGTGATTTATATTTTAGTTTGGATGGAGTATTTATAATTCATTTTTCAAGAAAATTTGACAAGTGTATGTTGGAAAATCTTATAGAAAATCTGTTCTAAATCATGCTCAAATACATTATCTTTAAGAGCTATCTTGTCACAATTTTTTAAAACTCTCTAAAATTAAGTGAAACCCTCTTATAAAACAAATAGGATGACATAACTGCAAAAATACAGAATAACTCAGGAAAAGCACCAAGGTAAGGGAGGAGAGTGCCCAAAAGTTCATGACTATACACTAAAATCTACAAATACTATTTTTTATAGGCAAAAATATCATAAATATTGAGCAATAAGTTATTGACAGCTCTTAAAGATTAAGTAGAACCCTACTATAAAAAGAACAATGTGACAGAACAGCAAAAACCTAAAATAACCACTACCATTTACAAGTAAAAATCTCATAAATAGAGGGTGAACATTTTACATGCGAACTTGCCTGTATGCTTGACTCATTGCAAAACGAGTTCCCCCATACCCATACTCGTGTAGAATAAAATGGGTATGAGTGGGTGGGTACCTATTTATAAAATAATGGGAGGCTACAGATATACATATCATTATATCATATTTAGATTTTGAAAGTAATTTGAATTTTGAATAACCTATTTGATTTGTATTCTACTTCACATCTTCCCCCATATTATATAATCTATATAATTATTTATTGATCTAATTATTTTAGTTTATTTTGTAGAAAAAAAGTCAATAGTTAAATTTTTTGCTATATCAAGTTACTCTAAAGAAGTAAGGATTGATGACTAATACAAATCTAAAAAAAATTGACAAACATTCCTGAGTCCTCACTTGATCTTCTATGTTTGTGTTGTGTTGTGTGTGTGGTTAGATGTTTAAATGTTATTGTGTTTCTTAACTTTATTTAGAGTGTAGTTTCAATTTCAGACTTGTTTGAAGTTGAATAGGTGTTAGTGTTTAAACTTTTTAAATTTTTGGATTTGTTGTGGCTTAATGGGATGTGATGTGAGAAATGATTAAATGATAAGGCTAATGCACTAAGATTATGAATGACTGTTTAGAAATTAAAATTATTGATCCTCATAAAATAAAAATTAGAAAAGGTTAGAGCCTTAGAGGTCATTTTGTACGGAACAAGATCTTACAAAACTTGTTATTTATGATTTGCAACTCTTAAAATAAAAATTTGTAAGTGAAATTTATTAATTTATAAATAAAAAATTTATCAAATATATCATTATTTAAAAATTTCCGTTTTCGTAAATTAGTTTAAAACTCGTCATTTTCTTCAATCCACGTAACTGTGTAGTGGCGGTCAATACCAACAGTTTTTCACTTTTCACGCTAATATTGTTTCCTTTTTTATTTTATTCGAATATTATACAATATGTGATAGGTTGTATTTGTCATGCTTCTTACGTTCAGTTTTATAAAACACTTTTAATTAATTTATATATTTTAATTAGTTAATTAATAAAATTTAAAATTACATATTCTTTTAATTTTTACTCTTATCTAATAGCTTGTTTTAATATTAATTAAAACATTGTATTAGTTATTATTTAAAAAGCCTAAAATGTCTTGTATTTATTAACATGATATTTAAAAAAAATTAATAGTGAACTGAGGGAGTAAATATTATTACAATCTTTTATAAATTTGTGTATATAAGTACTCCCTCCACTTAAAAATATAAGGTATTTTTTAAAAAGTTGAATATTTAAAAATATAAAGTATTTTTAATCTTTTGAGGTTTAATTATTATTTTTTTTTAAAAGTGTCCCTATTGATAATAACTTTATATTTATTAAAAGGTATTTTATAGAGGTAAATATAAAAAGGTAGGATTAGTTTAAAAGTAAATAACTACTCCCTCCGGTCCTATTTATAAGTTATTTCTACCAACCTCATCAATACCAATACAATAAAAGTACAAGGAATAAAAGTAAGTAAAATTCCAAACATGCCCCTATATAACAAATCTAAAAAGTAATGTCCTGTTACTTTTTCTCTCTCATGAAGGGTAATTTTGGAAATACCTCTCAAATATTACCTAAAAAGACACACGGTGACTTATAAATGGGACCAAATACACCTTCTAAAATTGGACTTATAAATGGGACCGGAGGGAGTACTTTATTAGGGTGAGATTTAATAAAAATATTTTATATTTTTAAATGGAAGAAGTATGTAATTTCTTCTCAAATTATAAAATGTTTTAGATTTATTATTTTTAATTTATAGTAGATCACACTACAATAATTTGTAATTTTTAATTTTCAACTTCTATGTTCTAAATGACTAATTGAAGATTGGCCAACGTGTCCCACCTTTTGTGTGGCGGAGGGAAATACATGAGGAATGTGGAGACACGTGACGTCAGACGTGATTCTAGATTCTCCATGTTTTTGTTTTTTTTGTTTTTTGTCCAAAAAAAAAAAGGTTATACATGTAACATGTTTTATAACGAGGAGGAGGATATTAATCACGTGTGGAGAAAATGTTAGGTGCTTTTGTGAGTGTACAAAAAAAACACACACACAAACAAAGAGCAGTAGAGGTCTGTTTTTTTTTTTTTTGGCTAGGATTTTAGGAGAATTTCTAACAATAATGCTTTTATCCACATAGAATTAAGTTGAAAATTAAATCAATTCGAGCAAAATAAAATCAATTTTAATTACTTGTTTCTATTTTCGTTAATTTAAAACAAAGACATTTGGTTTATTAGAAAAACAAAAGACATTTGCATGATAGTAAACAAAAGTACAAAACCACCCACTTTCTATATAAAAAAAAAACCACTTTAAAGTAAATAATAAAAACTATTACACCATACTGTTCCATTAAGATACCTATGTCTTTTTGCAGATACTAGAGAAGCTATAGTGTCTTACTAAGTCCAACTATAAAGTGAAGTACTGAGCCATGAATATTTTTCAACTAAAAATGGTTTTACTTTCATTTCAAAACTTCTACTTCACCTATTTAAAAAGTTATGTGAAATCGAGTAATATCATTACTGATAATCTTCATTGGAGTATTGAAAATGGTGAAATAATTTCCTTAAAAAAAATAAGGATTGGCGGCCTTTGTAGCAATCAGGTGATATACATTTATCTTGAAATGTATCTAACCTTATGCTGTACTCACTTGGTAATGAATAGTTAGGTTTCAATAACATGAAAGTAATAAACTTCCCAAAACACAAAGTGCATGAATTATTTTGAGTTCAATTAATAGTGAAAGTGAAAGCTGTTCGTTATTTCTTAGGATTAAATATTTTGTGGGGCTTCTTAATCTTTTTTTTTTTAGATCTTATTTGCATTATCATTATCATTTGATTTAAAAAATAACCATTTGTTGTGTAAAATTTGAACCCTATATTTTTATAAAAAAAGATAGTAAACTCTTATTAAAATATATAAATGACAATCAGACTTCTAGAAATATTATAATTTTTCAAAGTTCTTAGATACTTTTTTGACATTAATAATTTTAGATTTAATGATTAAATTGTCCCTTATTTAAAATAAAAAAAATAACGAGTTTATGAGGGGAATGTTGTGATTTCTTGTTTAATTTTTGCGATTCACAAATTAAAGTTATGATTAGAATTGATTATTTTCAGAACTTGTTTATTAATCATATAAGAAATTTTACATGAGAAGTTATAATTTTTTATTCAATTTTTGCGATTCACATGACAAAAGTTGCAATTATTTAAACAAAAAATTGTAATTGAAAAAATAAAGCTAAACCCCTTATTTTTATGTTAAACAAGAGGCAATTTAATCATTTAACCTAAAATAATTGATGTTAGAAAAGTATTTAAAGATTTTAGAGAAATTATGGTGTTTCAAAAGACTTGATTATCATTTATATATTTTTGAGATTTTATTACTATTTTTCCTATTTTCATGGTCTTCCCATTTTTATGGTAAAAATATAGTAATTTGATAGATTTCCATTATGTACTTCAATTTTAGTTATTGATGAAGTGTGTTATAAATATTGTAATTTATTTGTGGATGTGTATGAGAGTTTTTTTATGATTAATACACTTATTATATATTCTACAATTATATAGATGTATTCTTTGTGTTAAACAAATTTAAGGACTTGTGTCCGATGAATACGAAGCATGTATCAGGTGATCACAAACTTGAAGTGAATGAAAATCACTCATTATTTTTCTCCTCTAATTTTTCCTTGCCTTGTTCATTTCCCTCATCTTAATGTCTTACATTATTTTTATTTTCAAAACAAGTGCACGTAGTTTAAAAAAAAATTGTGATAATGGATATCTAAAGCCCATATATATATATTATATATAGAGAGAGAGAGAGAGAGAGAGAGGAGAGAGAGAGAGAGATCCATGCAACAAATTTGATGATGGATCCCATAAATTAAGCAAGCATTGAAAACAAAAAGCAAAGCATTTACACGGAAAGGAAAGCTTAAAAAACAAGGAAATAACAAATCTGACTTTTTTCAAAAACAAATTCTACGCGTCTCATGAGACATATGCTTAACTAGGCTATAAATGAGAAATTGAGAATCAAATTTCATCACTACTCAAACTAGAAACAGTTTTGGAGCTAACATTATCAATCTTCAAACCAAAGCCAGATTAAAACTACGGAAGAGAAAAAAGAAACCAACAACAGAAACCATAATAGAAACCAAAGTTTCTATTTTGCAATTCTGCAGCAGTACAGATGCAACAAAAAACTTGCTCAGTATAGAATTAGATGAAAGAAAATAAATAGACAACCTACAAGATTCTCACCACCCCTGGTAAAATATTGCTTCCATGGGGTATCATTCAATGAATTAATTTGACAGTATCAATGGCCATCATATATATATATATATATATATATATATAAGGGGGTAGGAAAAACAGCATGAGTATCTCTTTTACAATCATTTAGCTGCTTTGTGGCCTTGTGCTTTGGATTGATTCGCTGCTGCTGACATTACACGCAAGCGACGAGTGATTTCGGAGAAGGACGGCCGGGCTGCAGGATTCGGCGCCCAACATTGCTCCATTAGTGTTCTCCATTCCAAATCACAATTACTTGGGATTGTTGGCCTTAATGTGTTATTTACTATCCCACCTGCATGGACAGAATTTTAGTAACATAGTATTTCGGAAGTTTAAATCCGTTATCATTCATGTATGTGTTGTCAGGCCTAACAATTGGATTCTTTGTGACAGTAAAACACAAAAAATATTTCTTCCATACCACCATATAAGACATCTTTTAAAATTATTACTTATTTTAAAATATAGGGTATTAGACAGTTTTTATAATTGATTTTCCAACTATATCCTTCATTCATTACTCTTTTTGAAATGATGCATTTAAAATTTCAATTGTCATTATCAATGCACCTAAATAGAATATTTAATGAGAGTATAATTGAAAAATATAAAAATTTTCAAGAGACGAAAGTTTCACGTAACTTTCTTTGTTTTTTTTTAAAACCGTGAAATAGTTACTAACACCTATATTGTGGTCCACAAAGAGTAACTCTAAACGCTCAGACCAATTTTTACACACGATTCATTCTTTTTCTCTATCTATATCTCTAGTTGTCCTATATGATTCACTTTCATGAATGCAAGAAATCCGGATTGATTTTTGAAATTGATTTGTCCCAAAACTCTTGTTGACATATGTCGAGTTGGCTATAAGGGTCAGGTGTTACTGTTTCATTTTGAGGGCTTCGCTGGCTTGTTCTTAGCCGTTGAGCATTATGTTTAGCTATGTCCAAAGGAATTGTGACTTTAAGCTATTAACAAAGATGTAGGAAACCAATTCAGAAGGATGCAACAAGATTTAAGCTGACGCTTTATGTAGATAAGTTAAAGAAAACAAAAATTATCATACCTATAATTGCACCATAGTGCATATTGGCATACGGCTCCTCACCCGTTAGAATCTCCCATAATACTATGCCAAAGGAGAATACATCAACCTACAAATCAAAAAGCAATTCATCAAATACTGCTTGCAAGACAGGATGATGAAGAAAATGAGAAATATAAGAAATAACCAACAAAAGGTTGTCATAATTAGTAAGGATTTGACCAATAACCCACAAGGTTGTAGTAACAAATCTCATTGCTGATATAAAACCCTTCTTAATGGGCAATCTATAAACATCTCTCTAAGCATTGAGCCCAGAGATACACCCTGGCCCTAATGAACTCCTAGGACCCAACACACCTAAACTTTTAGCAATTAAAAAAAGAAAAGAAAAGAAATATAGGAGATAAAGATGGCCACTAAGAAAACATCAGCTTTCAGGGTTTCTTTGCCAATGATTATTAAGAGATGAAAATTCATACAACCCCCAAATAAAATAAGATTTACAATGTAATGGAAGAATGAAATAGGAGAATAAGGGGTGGTTAAATGCTCAGAAAACACGCATGCACGCACAGGTATTTGAGCACTAACAGATAGTGAGAGGGAAGGGTGAGTCCTGAATACTGGAAAATGAGTTTGTCTAATATGAGAATTTCATCATGAGAGATAAAAGCCATTTAACATCTGGATAAGAGATCACTACAACTCAATTGCAATATATTTATTAGTGATCAATAGTAATTGGTTGCAGTGATTTGGCACCATATCATCTTAAATATGATCTCAGGCTCAAGTCTAGCAAATATAGAAAACCACCGGAGTAAACCTTATACCCATATAATCTGACCTGAACAAGCTTTGACTTAACGTATATCCATAAACTGGACAATGCTCAACACTATATCTATGTATATCCTTTAAGCAGCGGTAAAAACACATTACATGATCGACCTATCATAATTTACCTTTTCTGAGACTTTGTTGCTGCTGCCATTCAGCAGCTCTGGCGCCATCCATGGCAAGGTTCCTCGCACACCACCGGATACCAGGGTATTTCTTTTGATTTTTGACAACCCAAAATCTCCAACCTAAGAGCAAATTTATTAGTCTTCTCAAGACACAAGTTTTGAAATCATGATCACAGGATAAGTACCTTGCAGATTGGCCGTAAAGGATCTTTCATGTTCACAAGCAAATTGTCACATTTTAAGTCAAAATGCACAATATTTTTTGAGTGCAAATATTCCATTCCAAAAGCAGCATCCATGGCAATTATCAGCCTCTTCCTACGATCAAGATACCTGCAATCAAAATTATGCTAAGTTAAAAACACAGCCTGGCAACTTCGAATCCATCACTTGAACACTTTGACATGATAAATACTTTGATGCCTACGGCTCAGGCAGCTACCTAATTTGAAAACTATCCAAAAGAAATAGGAAATTGGCATGCCTTCTATCAAAAAGAGAGAGTTTTTATCAGCACATGCCTATATTACTTACCGAATATAGAGCAGGAGCAAGCCTTGACCTTAAATGAAACGATTTGAATAAAATTTATTACCCAATGTCACAGGTAGAAAAAAACTAAGTAGAAATTCTTTACCTATCCTTGCGAAGTAATACATGCCTAAGCGAACCATCCACCATGAATTCAGTAACAGTGGCCATTGTTCCACCAGGTCCATCCTGAACCACACCATAAAATGCCACCACATTTGGATGATGAAGTTTGGAAAGTATGTCAGCTTCGCGCCAGAACTCTAGAGTCTGGAAAAAGGAAGGAAATATACTGTACCATTAATGCTCTGATAAAGAGTTTGAGAGATGGAGAGCTTTTTCCTTTGTCCCCATGAAGGGGGGCTCAATAGGGCGTAATTAAAAATAAATAAATAAATAGCACATTTTATGCTGATAGGAATTGAATTGCAACTTACCAGTCTTTCTTGTTCAGATGATCGACCAGTGAAGCAGCTTTTCTTGATTCTTTTAATGGCAACATCGGTCCCCCGCCATTTTCCATGATAAACAGTCCCAAAGGTACCAGAACCCAGTTCCTTCAACTCTTCAAGATCTTCATTCTTTATGAACTATAAATTCCACAAGGCAAAGAAAAACATTTAGAACCTATCAGTACATATACAAAACATTTTGAAGCAAATGACCAGGAATTAACTATAGGCCCATCAATGATATTTAACACTTCAACCCCTGAGGGAAACACAAGGCCCATCAATGTATAGAGATCTGTTAGATATTATTATAAAACTATTTAATCTTCTTAACGTCTTAAACTTTAGGGTTGAAGTGTTCCTTGGCATTGTATCAGCACCTCTATGATCAAACCTTGTGAAACCAAAATGGAAAATTAATTATAAGGCCTGTTTCAAAACTACTTGGAGCATAGTTTCCTCGACTACATGATGGCAAAAATGATTTAAGAATAGATCTATAAATGCATATTTGAAGAGTTGTGTGATGAATAATTTTCAGAGGACTGAATTTTGTTTTTTTTTAAAAGACGTGCTAGGAGTTAAAGCAGCAAGAATGAAAATTGAAATATATTAGGATACAGCTACCAGTCACCTTTATCATTAATTTCACTGTGAACACAAAACCATGAATAAAAAAACAATTCTACCGATTATTAGAAAGATGAAACTTCCCTTCATCCATCATGGCAAGTAATCCTCAAAGGAGAACAACGAAACTATGAATTCAAAGTGTTTTCCATTTAGGTAACTTAACAATGTTCCAGGCTCACAGTTCCATTCAGAGCAAAGAAACACATCACATACCATATTTACTAAACAGTGAACCTATATTTACTTCGTTCATACAAATGAGTTGATCCAAAATTTTCAACAATATGATAAGTGCACACCCCTGTAATCAAAGTACAGGAAAACTTTCCCGATAAAGCATTCTTTATACCATTGGGGGAAAGAGAAAGAAGACAAAACAGAATAACTGACATCAAAGCAAAGAAGATATAGATACACAAGAATGATACCTGAAAGGTATTGATCAACATCTCCTATAGAATGATCCAGAGGTGGTAGACTACTGTTTCTTTTTCAAAATTGACCATCCTAGATGAAGCCATAAAAATATGTGTCAAAAGAAAAGCGATCTGAACAGATTCTGAAACCAAAAAAGTCATCAGAAGCATACCTCATATTCTGATTCTTGTGCTCTTACGTTTCCCATCATAGTCAAACTGCATGCTTTCAGTTTCCTTCATTTGGGAATGATTATGACCATAATTTGATTCAGCAGTTTCAGTTCCAATCATCCCTCCCGTCTTTCTGATTTCTTCACCAAAGTTGGGGCGGGAGATTCTACATGATCTCGAGATATTCCATCAGTCATTACCGGTGTATGTATCAGGGGAATTTTATTATCCCGGCTTCATTTCCTAGTGCAGGTGAGAAATCATGATGGTCCCGGTCAATCAAGGTCACATTATCAAGCCCTTGTGCCAATTTATGAAAATATGACCATGGTTTAGGTTCATGATTTCCATGGCTATGCTCACACTAACTCCATCCTTGGTTAGCGGAAGTAGACTGGATGAATCTTCTGCAAGTGTTGCTTGAGAGTACATATTAGAAAGCAATTACGGGGAAATCGATCATCAATATCAATAAGAACACCTTGTGCTTGCTTGGAAAAAACATTAGAGGGAAAATCTTGAGAAACATCATCAACTGGGTGCTCAGTAGAAGAAACAGGGTAGTGCTTGTGTCACACAATCATCATTGGACTCCTTCCTAAAGGTCATTCCAAATGATCTCTGGAAGTTCGGATGCTGGATCATCATAATGATTAACGGAAGGAAGCTGCTGCAAAGTACTTGTTTTTGTTTTCATCAAGCAGAGGCTTTCCGGGGGTTATCTTTAAAATGACTTTCAGCTTCCCAACTTATTAAACTGATCCTCATTTATCTCATCCTTACTGCCTTATTGTCTGGCAAGGCCTGCCTCAATTCAGGATTTACATGTTCTGATAGCTTAAATTTGTCTGACTGCTCTCAAGGCACATGCCTTGGCGGTCTGGAACATCCATTATAAATAGCGTGGCCATCTGCATGCAATGGCTTTGCTGCAATGTTCAATTCCTCAGAACGATTGGTAAGATTTCTATATGCATGTTGTCACCAGATTCTGCAACTGAACCCTGCGGCTGATATCAGAAAGTTAAATCTGACACAAGAACTGAGAGCCCTCAGTATCATCTGACTTTTGGAGCGATTCAGTGTCTCAGCTTGCTCTCTGGGAGTTCTTTCTGAATAGTAAACTCTCTTTGGAAGTGGAGGAGGTTGAAGACCACTCAGATCATATG